TCCCCAGCCGCTGGTGTTCATGCTCTGTTCTCTGTTGAGTGGGTGCAGCCTTAATTCCCAAGCTGTGTGTTTGTATTGGTTGCTGCTATTTTCTGGGAATGCTGTGCTGTTCTGTCCAATGTGGGGTTTGGGGAGGGACAGGTGTGTGAGGGTATAAGAAGGGTAACAGGTGGGCGTGTGCGTCCAGTTGGCGCGGAACATGGGATGTCCTGAGAAAGTGTTGCTACTGCTTTCCCTTTTGTTTTTCATTTTTCCTGTGAGCACACGGTGCCAGGTATATAGCCGTTTCATTTTGCATTCTCTATTCTGTTCAATAAAATCCAAGAAAAGACAGAGAAGGTGTTCTCCTCATTATCAGCCTAGGTGCCAGCGCACAGCTGGATAGTTAGATGTCACAGTACAGGATAGGGTCAGACCAGCTCCGCTCATCCGAACCAGCGGAGCGCCACAATATGTAAAAAGCGTAGAAGACTAATGCTGCTCCAAGTTTAACGAATCCCTAAATATAGACTAGTATGTTTAGCTGGTTCGAATTGATTTTAACTTATGCTGGTACATACTGACACCAGAAAATATCCATATGATGCACGATAAAATCCGACAGTGGCAAAGGCTTTCACATTCTCCTGTCAACTCGCCTTTTATATGATGCCAACCTAACTACCAGCTAAATAAATTTTGGCATTTCAACCATAAATAGTGTTAAAAGCATGTACTGGATACCGAAAGGCTCGATTCTTGTTAACTAGTAACCAGTACGTATGCCGGGTAATCATAAGCATCGAGCTTCCCGGCACTAGCGAAGTCAGTCAGTCCCGGACGCATCTCCCACAAACATCCGGGACACCGCTGTGCGTCACACTTTGACGAGATTGGCAAACAAAGTAGAAATTTACTCAATACTGCCCCCCGGTGGTCGGGGTCTCAGTGTCACTCACAGTGGACTGGACCAGTCCGTTTATATTACAATCTGCGGAATATTTTTTTGATTATTCAATTAGTTATTTGGTCTTTGAAGTGTTATAAATATCTTGTTTTGTCTGATCTACAAATTAAAACCTCAATATTTTCAATTTGCCATTAATTAAATTAAAACAGAAAAAGATCCCGACATTGGGAACAAGCAAAACTGGCATTTTAGCTTGAAAACTAAGTCAAATTGATTCGATTTGCCGTCAGAAGAACAATTAATTAGCTAAATGTTTTCATTATAGTTTAGTCCTAGAGGTTCTTTTGGATCAGCAGTTTTATTGAGACAAATTTAATTTAATATCTTTCCCAGAAGGCAGGCTTTTAGTAAAAGAAGACAGCAGACAACAGTGTGAACATTGCATTTGATTGCAACTTTTATTTTTTGCAAATACACTAGAAATGTTTACAAAAGCACAGTAGAAACATCTGTGCAGTGTAAATTATCAAAACTAAAAAGGGGTGTTTGAAATCATTTTGCACCTAACATGACAAGGGGGATTGTCATTTTCAGCAGCAAAACAAATTAGTCCGAGCAAGAAATGTCTGTTAGTGATTTCAGAACATCAAAATGGGGAGATGCATTTTTTTCCAAAGTCCAAAGAGAAAATTAAGGAAAATAAAATACACGGATAGTATGGCACTAGTGCTCATCCCTGAAGGAGGGCTTCATTCATCTACACAGCATCAATGCTTTACTTTACTCAGTCATTAAGATAATCAGCCTTCCAGTAAATCACTCCAGTTTGTCAGAAATAGTGTATTTGGCTCTACAAAGACATTTTGACTCAAGATCTCATACTTATTCAACACAAACACCCAAATTTTAAAACCATTCATATACAATGTTTTTTTTCCACTAACCCATTACACTTTTGTTTTTTCAGTGTGAAAAAAATGAAATGATCAAAAAAAGAAGTTACAAAATGAATCATACTACAGTAAAAGGAAAATGTATAACTAACAAAAATAAAAACTAAGGGAAAAAAAGACAAATATTGTGTGGCCCCTTACAAAACATCCACTCTTTAGTTTACACAACTCTGTATTGCTAGGTCTTAATACTGAGATTTTTTACCTGCTCAAAAAGAGCATTGACTACTTGTTTGCACTTGCATTTGGCTGAAAAACCTATCGAAATACCAACTCAAAATTATTATGTTTTGCCTAGTTGTAAAAAGGTACATACACACATGCTCACACAACATTGTTGCAAATGCTTTACATAAGTAGTGGAACTATTGTTTACACACGCAAAAAAAAAAAAAAAAAAAAAAGGGAGGTGGTTTTGTGGCACAGCTGTTATCGCACAGGAGAGTAAACAGTGCTGGAGCAGATCTATGTGGATCATCTTTGGTTAAGCAGGGACAAGCCAAGTGGGTTTAAAGGACTGGACTCAAAAGGCCAGACAGGTGGTGGCATGATGGCATTATGTGTGTTTGAACTGTACAAGTAACACACACAACTCTCAGGATTAAGGTTGTTCAGGTTCAAGTCAAGACTTTTAAAAGGTGGGTAACGGCTTCAGCTTGCAAAAAGGCGGTAGTTTTACGCAGATAGGTAAAACAGAAAGGCCTTAAGTGACTTGATTTTACTTTAAAGGAACAGCTCGACATTTGGGGTGCAAATGATTGACATCACCCTTATATCTGTTCATTAGTGTACAACTAGTAGCATGTTAGCCTAGCTTAGCATAAAGACTAAACAGAGGAAAACAGCTAGCCAAGCTCTGTCCATGGATTTAAAAATTCACCTACCAAATTATTTCCTGATGCAGTAACTTCCTGTAATCGAGAAATACTCTGGCACATAAGCGGTTGTATATTTTGTTACCTTTGAACAGCACCAGGCTGGGTATTTCCCCAGTTACAGTTTTTGTGCTAAGCTAAGGTAGCCGTCTCTACACTGTGGGTTCATGCTGAGCAGACAAAGAGGAATATAACAAGAAGGCAAATAACCACATTTCCTAAAGTGTCAAACTGTTTCGTTAAAGCACTCTCCCCCACAGTGACATTAAACCAAGAATCAGACTTCTGACAGCACCTTTAGATCATCCTGAGGGGGCTTCTCCTTTCTGGACATTTATAGACAACTACCAAGTTTACTAACCCAAAAATAAACCCCAGCAACACATGTGATATGGTCAGTTTGTCTCCTAACAGAGGAATGAGTGGTCAAATGTGGTTACATTACAAAAATGTTGCTAATAATAACAGTAACTTCTAATTCCCATTACTGACAGCAAAATTTGGCCTTTTGTCTTGTGTTCTGGTATCAAGAATTTGGAAACACAAAAAGCCTTCAAGATTTAAGACTTTGGGAAAATTAAAAGGCTTCTGTGTATGAACCTAAAATCGAATACAAACATTATGGTAGAAAAAAAACATATACAAATACAAATCCATAGATTATAGCATTTTTTTTAGCAGCAGTGATAACAAACAGACAAGTATATTAAAAGAAGATACTCCATGTACTAAAAACAAGTATCACAGAGGCAATGATGACTGTTGTCCATCTACAACGACATCCTTATTAATCAATACTAGCCAGGACAAACTGTTGAAATGTACTCAGTGTGAGGACCACCTGCATCTAAATGTCCAGGACACAAAAAAAAGAAAAGAAAATGCATGAAATACAGGACACAATTTCCAGGCAAAGTGCAGGTAATGTTCCACATTGAAAATATTATGGCCTTAAATTCACTTCCTTTGGTGACAACCAATAAACTTGATGTGACAAAACAAATGTGGCGGACAGAAAGGAGAAAACACTATGAAATGTAAGACAAACAGTTATTCAAGCGCTGTGAGTTGCATTTCTCTGAATTCCTACAGCTCCTTAGCAAACCGAGTGACTGCACAGGGCCTCAACACCCAATGATTCCACTTTTTCAATTATCATGCCACTTGACAGTGTCTTTGCGAGATCAGCTGTAAATGTATAACAGGACAAAGAACATCTGGTAACCTTGTGTGAGGACTGGTTTTAGCAATCCATATTGTGCTTTCTCAAATAAGTAACAGTGTAGATGTGCAGAAGCGGTCAACACCAGAGCAAAGTTAGTGTCTTTCAGCACGCCTCAGAGGACTGCTTGCTGGATTTGGTCAGAGGTATCTCAGCATTTCCTCTTTACATATATACACACAATAACAACAAAAGAGATTTCCAGCTTATTTGAACAGCGTTATCAACATAAAGAACATACTGAACCATTGTAAGGCAGAAAGCAGGTTCAAGCACCCCCTTGTAAGTATGGTGGGTGTTTTTTCCCCTTTTTTAAATGTGTGACGACATCTAAATGTGCAATTTTATCAAGCCAAGGTTGGCCATCCTAACAATTTCACAGTTAGCTGTTCATCACCTTATCTAAAGAGGACACTGAAGTGTAGTTGAGGTTTCTCAACGCGTCCGTTTGTAACTAGTTTTCTGGAAACAGGATGATACTGGCAAAGACAATGAAAGAAAAGCAGCTCAAAATCGTAAGTATTCCAGGTGCCACACTACACCATGTTTGCATCAAGAAAAATAGTTGTCTATTGTCCAGGAAAACAAGACATCGAAGTGTTACATAAAAGATCTGCACACTTTCCCTAACTGTCAATGCAAGTGTTGTTTGTATGGGTACACCAATTCTTCTCAGGAAAAAGGAAAAATGCTATAAATAGTTTGGCTCAGTGTGTTTTTTCTTCTGTCTTATTAGTTCTTTGTTTTTTGTTTTTTTTTTTACAAAAAGATATGATAAATTCAGCTTTGATAACAAAACCATTTCATTCTCTGAGCCCAGGAGCTCAGAGTTTTGTCATAAAGATTCAGTTTACAGGAGCCTTCTTGTCTTTTTAATCTGTTAGTTTGAGACTTTCGCCTCAGGCAACACTGATGGAGAGCAATGAGAAAGAATATGACTAGCAACACGCCCTGTTGTTCAGGTGAATACTAAACACTCTTTAAGCCTAATTAGTCTGCAGAGTGTGCTCTGAAGATCATGCATCTGTGTGTAGCACCGACACCTATGCGACTGTGTTCCCTCAGAAGAATTATGGAAAAGGCTTGTCCCGGCCAAGCCCAACCAGAGTCTGTTCATCTTTAGGGCTGACAAGGACAGGAAAGAGGAACAGAAGTGTGGGAGTCTGTTGTATTGCAGTAGGGCAGTGAGGGCCATGCTCAGCAGGTAGAGTAGAGGAGGACAGACAGTCATAAGAGGGCTCAGTGAGAGGAGCAAGGTCTTTGTTGACTAAACATTTGCTGGAGTTTGTGTCCCACCCCTATCCATATCCTCCCCACCCCCCAAAATAAGTGAAAATGAGTGGGCAAACCCCCAACCGTGGTAACGTAACACCATGGTACTGCTCCCTCAGCCCCCTTCCTGAGCTCCACACTTGCAGAGGGGATCGTCGATCAACACTTTTGGGCCTCCACTGGAGACATGGCAATATAAGAGCCATTTCTCACTGGCTGGCTGGCTGATGTTTCTGATGGCTCGTCGGGTTTGTCGCTGACCTGAGTGTAGGCCGTGTCATCTTTTGCCGTCTGGATAGGAAGAGCCATGAGGACAGAAGGTGTTAGAACAAACTATCAAATTGGCAAGATGTCCAAATGTTCTTTTATACCAATATTAAAATGGGATTAAATATTCTGACTGAAATGTTCACAATAAACCACTACAACCAATATATGCACCAGTTATAACAAAAACCACCATAAAAAAACAAACTTAAAAGCAAAGAAATCAATTACACTCTGAGGCGAGAACTCAAATGTCCCATAAGACAATTAAAAATGGTAATAAGAGATTATGTATAACAAATTAAAAAGAGAGCAGAAAACAAGGCAAAAATGAAGACTTACAGTAAAAGAATGAAAAGCTGCAGTAAAATCAATACGTTTTACTTCATTCTAAAAACAGAAAAGGAAAAGGGGGGTTACAGAAAATAAAAATTAGAACATGGTTAATACAACACTTCACATTGCAATTAAGCAACATTCTCTCAATGCTAAGATAAAGTTCTAAACCTTGCTGCATCAAGGAAAAGTTTGACACTTTGGCAAAGCTTATTTTCTTTGTTGCAGAGCTGGATGAGAAGAATGAGATCACTTTATCCGTGTTGTTCATATGTAGCTATATAGTAGTTGGCTTAGTGTAACATAAGGACTGGAAATAAGGAAAGAGCTTTTATCTTCTTTTTACAGTTTGGTTTTTGTATAGATTAAACAAAAAAATTTTGGTGCTGGCTTTGTCAGATTTTGGTTTTCCCATTTCCAGTATCTCAGCTAAGCTACACTAACTGTTGTAGCTTCATATTTAACCACTGTAGTTTCGGGCAAAAGAGTGGTATCATCTTCTCTGCTAACTTGCAGCAAAGAGCAAATCATTCCCAAAATATTAAACTAATCCTTTAAAGTGTATGTTGCAGGCCACTCTCTGGACAGTGAATAACCTGAAGTACAATAATCTGAATTTGATGAGGCCAGGGTTCAAATCAGCAATCCTGCAATACTAGAGATAAAAGGAGAACGTGCTACATCATTTTCAGGCTATTCTAGGTCAGTGAACTCTAGTACTCTGTAGTGTTAAGCTAGTTATTAGCCACAAAGGGAACTAAGATGCTTTCTTCCTGAATACACAGATTAGTCATTTCATCAAAGATGCACTGACTGTTATAAACAGTTAGTAAGAAAAAAAAACAATTTGATTCAAAATTGTGGAAAACTGGCCATGCTGGTTTTGCTGTGCAGGAGTTGTGCAATTTGTTAATATGCTCGGGGGTTAAACCTGCTGCAGGTTGGTGATGTTAATAGAGGAAACAGTCAACCGTGTGAAAATCCAGTCAGAACTTCAACAACTACAGTGTCTATAATCAGTCTAGGCCTCATTGGCATGGTGAGCTAATGTCAGTGGGTAGCACACACTTTTCATTCCACGGAAACTACAGTATGTGGATTAATACTACAGTTTAGTCCACAGCAACAGGGCGGTTCCTACCTTCTTCTGGCGGTTTCGGCAGAACAAGACAATGAGCACCAGCAGCAGGATGATGCCCATGCCTATTATGAACATGGGGAAGTTTGATGCAAGAGTCAGGATTAGGAGCAGTGTCCTCAACTGGGCTGCTGAGTCATCATCAATAGTCGCTGTCTGGGGTTGAGAAAGACAAAAGTACTGACTGACGGTTGCGGTTTTCAGAATAGATTTTTATACAGATTGTGCTAAAACGGGAAGATCCTCACCTCATTGACAAACATGATGGGGAAAATGGTCTCATTGATGTGTCTGGTGTTGCTACAAGGCAGAACAAAAGAGAGAGAGACAAGAAGTCAGTGAGAACATCTGGCTCTACATGTGGCCGGAATGGGGACAGAACGTGGCAACAGCAGACTGGGTCAGAGTTCAACAAAGTTTGACTTACGGGAAGCCTTTAACTCTCTTCAGAATGATATTGAGCTGGGCTCGCCTGCAGGCACGAATGGGAGTTCCTATGGTCTGCAAGGAGAGGAAAAATATATTTTTAGACAAAGTAAAAAGTTTTGGTGAATCTAGACATCTGTAGCACAGAGACTTTGTTTCTTGTTTTTTCCTATAATTCTCACACATTGGAAAAAAAAACTACTGCTCCAAGATAAAGTTTTCTTTAAGAAAAACTCCCTCAATAGCAAAAAAAAAAAAAAAAAACAAAGGAGCAACTGAGTTAAGCATGGGTAATATAAAAATAACATTTACAAAGTATTCTCTTTGCAAATAAGATTCTACTGTATTTTTTGTTTTTTTGATAAGCTTAAAATGTTAAAGGAAAACAGAGCCATTACTACAAATCATGATCACAACAACAACTTTCACTTTGATAAGACCACCATAAACCAACAGATCAAGATTCAACACAGATCCAATCTGTTGGAATATTTAATATTAGTTGTACCGGTTGGAGGTCGACATAGGTCTCGTGTTCTTCCTTGTTGGGGTTGAGTCCTTCAATAGCATTGATGTACTTAGGGTCCGCTTGATAAAAGTGTGGGAAAGATACCACAATGGGAGCACCTTGACGGAAGCAAATAAGATGAATATAGGTCAATCAACGCTAGTATCTGATGACTCAGAGTACAAACAAGGGTCTAAAAAGGAGAAACGCAACATGAAATAAACCATTATCTGTTTTTTTGTAAGAAGATTTGCAGGTATGTCTGTGATTGATATGGTGCAGGAGACAGCTGATGAACATGTGTTCCAGGCTGTATTAGGACTGAATAATGATAATCTGACACAACAAACACAAGGGTACTTCTTCTGCAGCACCCAACATCCGGCTCTTCCCTTTCCTTTTAATAGGACATCTCATGTGGTTTGAAGCTTATAATAAAACCTCTGAATGGAGTTAAGTGTATTGTATATTCTGTTTTGCATCAAATGCACAAATTCAAAAGAGGACATTTCAAAAAGCCAAGGTATCAGTTTCATTTTCGTATGTGATAGACCATTTGTTTTATTTCTTTTGAGAAAGGTCAAGTAATATAAAAATTCTCTCCTGATCATGGAATGTGTATTATTTTTGACAGTATATACTTTGTGTAGAAGATTGTGTTGGAAATGGATAGTGAAGTAATAAAAAAAAAACTGCATGTAAATTATACTAACAGCAGATTCCTACAGTTACAATAGCATATCTTATAGTGGCTTCATGTGTCAGGCCTAGTGGAGATTGCTTTATCAGAACTATCACACTCTACTCAAAGACCAGCATAAAATACTTCAGTAGCCACCACACACAGTCAGCACAGTTAATCATTGAACCGTGTATTGAGTAAAATTTGGCATGCTCCAACTGTGAGAATGTCCAGACTGAAAGGACATTTTGGGCTCTAGATACAGGAGGAAAATTGTGTCATGGATTTGGAGTCAAAGGGAAGTGGGTAGAGGTGGGTAACTGGGTCAGGCTCTGTGGTAATAGGGTAAGAGGGTGGAACGGGGTGGTGCTCCTACCTTCTCGACAAACGCTGACTTTAAGCACCCCAGTGCCGAGACAGTCTCCACGTGGCACACAGAAGCCTTCGTTAGCGGGGTTGTCTTTGGGGTTCATGAGGACGTCTTTAGGGGGGGTGAAGCGGTAAGCCTGAATGCCTTTCACCTCCACGTCTTCTACATAGGCTAAATGAACAGACCTGGGGAAAGAAAACTGCTTAAAAACTGACACCTAAAAAAGACCTATCACGAAGAAGATCACATCTTTTATCATCTTGTAGTTAGGACCACAAAAGGCACAACATGATCACTTCCCATATAATGATTTCTTAGAGATTCCTAGGTGTGTCCAGGTCAAGGCTGTCCTCCCACGTGCATTTTGACTTCACTGCCAGTCTTATCAGAAGTTGTAATAACCACAACCCAGGTCATTATCAATGGATGTGTAAGCATTTTGTCTATAACTCAGCTGTCATTCCTTAGAAAAGCTTTACTGGACGTTACAGTCCCTCGCCCTGCTGCAATTCTTTGACTATAAACAAATTTATAACCAAAAAAAGCACAGGTCCATACCTGCAGAGATCAGCAGCAAAGATGTAGAGCAACTCATTCCTGTTTATCAGAGGGTGGAAGACTGCACCATCTGTACCGTTGATCATGTTGCTCTGGTTGGAAGACCACCACGACATCTGCCTATAGAGGTGTAAAGACAAAGGATATATTAATGCTGCATTGTAACATATAAAGTATATCAGTCACAAAGGCCATTTTTCTGCAGAATGTTTTTAGTTTAGTAAAATTTTAAATGCATGATTTTTACTTGTAATGAGTATTTTTACGCTTTTGTAGTGACGCTTGTACTTTAGTAAAGGATCTGAACACCTGTATCGGAGTCTACCGACACATGATAGTAGCATTCAAAGTGCGAAACTGGTTGTACAAACAGTCATGTTGCAATTGTGCTCTACCCAAAGCCATGAAGCAAAGGCTTTTCCTCTGGACTTTGAGATACAGGTTGGGTAACAAAGTAAAAGTAAGTATAATGATTGGGATGAAGCAGGAGCCATGTGCTGACAAGTTTTCCTGTCATTAAGGAAAGCAATAAAAAAAAAGGGCGGCAATTCTGTTTTTCTGCATCGACACTGCCTGATACAAGTCTTTACCTCAGGCCATTCCACGTGTCTACCTTGCCATAATCCAAGTAATTGTCCTTGCCAGTGTGGAAGACAAACTCTCCTTCATGGGTGCCATTTTTCTGTGGAATACAAGATGAGACACAAGGTTCAGACAAAGCTGTTGTGACCAACAACTGTTGAGGATACAGGAGAGCGGCACCAAGTTAGAAACAGTGTTTGTCTGTTGACAAAGGACCCTGGGAACAGTGAAAGAAACACCGCTTTGTATTTGTCATCAACACGCTTAGTATTATACTGTAACCAGACTCCTACAGAGTAAGGCATCAGTAATTGATTGACAAAAACCTAGAACTGGTGGGTGTTTTCACATATGGTCTTGACCTTAGAGAGACCGACAGACATATTGATATTCTCAAATTACTTGGTTTTCAGTGGAAGTCCACATACCAACAGATTCAGTTTAATATCATATGACAAAGGAAGGTATCAAATTCTAACATTTGGGGCTAGAAGCTGTGAATCCTCAGCATTTTTCTTACAAATGGCTGAAGTGATTGGTCAGTTACCACAATAGCTGATGATTAATTTTCTGCTGATTGATTGTTTTAGTCCTGTTACTCAGCAACACATGGCTGGTGTTGCAAATGTCGCACCACAGACAGGAAGTAATGTCATCTCAAATCAACATGTGACCAATTTCACATCTCTTTTGTGACATTACCACTGGCTTCCTCTTGTCTGTTGTTTTAGTAACCAACATGCAAAAGCTTTCTTAAGAGTTTTTACACTAAAATTACATCAGGCTTGCCTCTGGAACACCAGGGAGAGTTAAGCTTACCTTCCACATAAACCCAAAATATTCATCCACGTCAGGCTTCATGGAGTGGACTTTTGTGAGAAGAGGATCTTTGAAGCCCCACAAAATCTCATGGACAGTACGGTTCATGAACACTTCAATACCCTGGCTTTTCAAATATATGGACACAAGAGGTCGCATGAAGAAGGAGTAGGAGTTAAGCTCGTTCATCACCGCCTGAGGAACAAACATAATGGAAGGCTGAGAAAGCTCCCGTCACACAATTCAATTTCCGTTTGTAATACTTACTTAAGAAAATCTTGGTATGTTTGGCATGCCAGAAATTTGTATATTCAAGAAAAACTATAAAGGACAATGGCTTAGAGTGTGTTAGGGGAAATACAGTGGATGTGAGATAAAATAAAAGCACATGCCAGTTATGATTAACTGGTTGCTGCAGGTTGCTTCCCCATACACACGCCATGTCTTACCACAAATGGGATGTTAACAGTCGTGACATAATCGACCTTGGGATCACCAGCAGACCTCTCAGGCACAAAAACAAAAGTTCTGGGGTTCAGGGCGTAAACCTTGGTGCCGTTCTCCAGGAAAGTTATGTTTTCCCTTGGCCTGTATTCCCTGGTGTGAAAAGGACATTAGTCAGTTAGTCCAGATGTCTTTTGTTTTGATTTCACTAACAAAATGATTCTAGATGAATCAGCTGCTCTTACCACAAATGGGATGTTAACAGTCGTGACATAATCGACCTTGGGATCACCAGCAGACCTCTCAGGCACAAAAACAAAAGTTCTGGGGTTCAGGGCGTAAACCTTGGTGCCGTTCTCCAGGAAAGTTATGTTTTCCCTTGGCCTGTATTCCCTGGTGTGAAAAGGACATTAGTCAGTTAGTCCAGATGTCTTTTGTTTTGATTTCACTAACAAAATGATTCTAGATGAACCAGCTGCGAGGTCCTTAAATCGATCTTATATAAAAATAAATAAATAAATAATTTATAAAGAAATGCCCAGTTTCCTTTTCTATCACTGTAGGTCTTCTAATCAGACTTACCTGTAAGTATAGGGTCCCATCTGTTTGACAGCTGCCTTCCCACCTGCCAAGAACACCTCTGGATTGGTCACATTGAAAAAGTAATACTCCATAAAAACGGGTGGAGGTGGATTTTTCCACGACTCAAACACTTGGCTGTTCTCTGTCAAAGTGATTTCCTATCAGCAAAAGAGGAAAACACACATTTAGATTGAGAAACAGCAAATTAGGTTGAAAGTAACAGAAACAGGTTTTATTAACATTTGGGAACTTTCAAAGCCCTTCACTATTCTGAATGAGCACCATCTGCAGGGAGCTGGTGATGGGCCAAGACACTCAAACCCAGAGGGAAACAAAGAGAAGTGCTTTGTAGAAAAACATCAAGACAGGCAGAAAGCCTTAGCAAAACCTGCACAGTCTTTGGCGTCAGCAAGCAGAGGCAGATATCTGTGGGCTACTAGTCAGCCCATGCAATCCAGAAATGTGTCGCAACAATAAGACACTGCATCTGAGGAGCATAATCCAATGTGCAAAATATCACGAGGTTTTTTTTATTCAGAGCACACAAGCCAAAGCAATACATACAAAATGGCTTCACAGATGTTTTGGCTACGACAGGAACTGAATGAACAACTGCCACATCTGAACAACAGAAATCCGTAACTTTTAACACCATTCACCTGTATAGGTAAGCACTACCAGTATCCTGAGTGAAGGGGTTTGTTTTCCAGGAAAATAAAGCTTATTCCATCCTTAGAAGTATTTTTACATTTGGAAAAGGAGAAATGACCCCCTTTCTTTTGTGCTTTTTTTCATGGCGAGTTGCCGAAAACCTCTGCCCCCCAGCGTGCAATGAGGTACACTTGAGAGGCCTTCCTTTTCTTCTGCAGCTTCCCTAGAGCACTTGACATGTTGAAAATATAGCTTAAGGTATGGTTTGCACTTCCTGTTTGCATCACAACCTCTGATATTCAAATACGTTTTTCCTCTACACAACTGTTTGCTGGCTTTGTTGCATCACCTTCCCTTTGCAACTTTACAAAAACCCTTGTTAGATGTCAGAGTGGTCGACCAAAATATCAGCTTTGATAGTCTGAATAAAGAGGTGAGAGGGTTCAACTACCTGAGGAAATAGAGCCTTTACCCTTTTACCATGCTGACATATTACAGAAATGATTTTTAAGTGGTTTAGAGCAGCAAAACTCACAGTTATTTTCCCAACGAACCTGTTAACTGTTTAGTCTGAAAAATAAGGATAATTATAATCACCTTTATTGGCCAAGTGTGTTACACACAAGGAATTTGTTTCCGGTACAGAACCGATGGCAGCCATCTGCGGCGCCACCTCAACCGACGGCTCTAACCATCGGGTGCAACGAGGGGGTTCAGTGTCTTGCCCAAGGACATTTTGACACGTGGACTGCCGGCCTGAATAGTAAAAAATACTCAATTTCCCAACGCCCAGATGTCTTGTCCACCAGCAATTTAAAACTAGTTGACAGTGAGATACAACAGAGAAAAGAAGCAAATCCACACATTTACTGATTAATTTTCTTACAATCAATGAACTGACTGCAGCTCTAGAGAGGTTTGCTATTGTGTTCAACACCTTTATGATTAGACACATTTATTTGCATATTGGTTTTTTCCAGTCATCAGAAATTACTAATCTTGCATTGCACAATTGGTCACAACACTCACAGCTGCATTTCTATTGCCAAAAAACCAAAGATGAACCAAAGAAGAAACGCTTAAAAGGAACTTGAGGTATTTAAGATGTGAGATTCTCCTGAGTCTCGATGATTCTGCTTCTTATGCAAGAGCTGAAGTGAAACCAGGCAAAAGCAAATGAAGCCTGTGACCATCATGAACACTTGTTGTACTTAAACACTACACCAAACCAGCAGAAATGATCCAATTTGTCCCCTTTTAAAAACTAAATGCAAACTGTGACTTTGGAACCAGCTTGAAGTCATTTGAGAGACCAAGGTGTCACCATAGCTTCCATGAATCCCTGTGTTTTCCAGCCTTGAACAAAGGACTTTCAAAAAGCTCTTTTCAAAATTACGAAACTCATTGATTTCCTAGAAAAAACAACCTTGATCCATCACAGTCAAACTGGAGGTAAGGCTGAATGAGTTCAACTAAACTGTGTAGCTCACACTGACATGTGTCCTGCGCCTTAGCCAAACAACTCAAGGCAGAGTTTAGGTGTGGTGTGACAAAATCCGGTTTTGATCCGCATATGTTAAACAAACAAAAAAAAAAAAACTTTAAAATAAGAGAGTCCTTTATCAATTTTTATTTGTGTTGAAGATTTTGCTTTTAAACAGTGTCAATGGCACATTTTGAACTAAAACATGCTGTTTTTACCAGCTTAACCTTGTTCTTGACAGCGTTTACCTCAGTCAGTCATACTACCTTGAAAAGTCTCCTCTCCCAAACAGGGCTGAGAGGTGTGGCACGAGGGGGCGTTTTTCTTTTCAGTTTACTCATCTGATAGGCCAAGGCTGGAAAAACAACAAAGCACTATACAAAGTTGCTCACAGGCAAAAAGAAAATCATGCCCCTGAGGCTGAGAAGCCTGTCACTTTGCTCAAAGGACTTTTAAGCTGCTTCCTTCCACACCCAGCTCACCTGGCATACAGAGTGTGTCCTGGAGGTAGCTTTGACTTGTCCTAAACAACTAGGCTACATCATTAGAACACATCGGATTAGGTAGCGTTTTAGACTTGCTTCAGCATGTCTGGGCCCGCTTATTTTAAAAGGAAGACTGTGGAGAAAGAGGATTAGCTATGCTGTCATTTTGTGTAATCGCCAGCCACATCAGAATCATGTCCCCTGCTGATGAACTTTGGCTAACTCTCTTAATTTGAGTCCCCTGGGAAGCTGCCATGACTCAGAATGACAGACAAATAAAACCCAGACCTAAATTTAACTTCAAGAAGGGGAAAGCGTGCCAGTGAGGCAGCTGTTTGTGAGTCCGCAACTTGGACAAATAGTGCGTTTAGGTTCTCTGCTGAACTGCTCCCGGCTTTTTCTGTTTTTTTTTTTCATTAGAAGAGGATGGGGGTGAGTTTGTGAAAGGGCAAAGAAGCAGAGAGATTGTAAAGCACAGATTATGAGTTACAGCCTACGCAACGCCTCATGTAAGTAAGAGGAATGTGGGACATTATAAATGGGAGGGGAGCAGGGGTGGGTCTGCAAGGTGGGTTGGAGTGTCAACTGCCAACACCCCGTGACGCCTGCATTCCCTAAGCTAATATAAGATGAGGAAAATAATCATAAATCAGTGCATCAGACACTAACAGTCCACCAGTTCCCATAAATGTAAGTACACTTGTGCACAAGAGGTACCGCCGTTTTCCCTTATTTTGATGGGAACACAAAGCCAGGAATAAAAAAAAAGGACAGTGCCTACGCTGCTTATGGCAGTGAGAGTTAACAAATAATAATAATAACGGTGGTTGTTTCTGTGCAGATTACAAATCCCAACCCAAACCAGAAAATAATGTTCAACCATAGTGAATTTCATTTTTCATTTTTGTTAAATCATTACAAAGTAACAGGAACAGTTTATCAAACCTTGATTGATCTGTGAAACTGTGAAGATTCAAAATAGACTAGCAGTGCATACATACATATTGATAAGACCTACAGTTTACTGTCAATCATTTAACCCTTAAATTACATCTATAAAAGTCACAATTTTTGTTTCAGGTTATATAAGAATGCATCAGTGCTTGGTTTTCATAAAATGTGAATTACTTTCACACCATGTAATACACTACTGATCCACCACTGGAAATCAGGGACTCCCTGATCCTCCTACCCACCCATCCAAACTCCATTCTCCCATCCGCC